AACCTGAACACATTCTAATTTGCCAGGCAAAAACACTGGTTTAAAAACTGAAGTGCCAAATGTTATAGATTCTGAAGCTCCCCCAGCAGAGAAGGTAGAAACACAGCCCTCCCAATTCCTTCTCAGTTCACAACTGAGGCATAACAGGGTTTCCTCACCCATTTCCCAATCTGTAGGATGAGAAAAGGTCGGCTCTGTCAAGGTGACAGAAAAAGAGGAAGAAACTAGGAATATATGTAGCAGTAACGCCCATATCATCCCTGACAGAGCCACATGCACGTTCTTCTCCCAATGACTAGCCACAAGTGCCACAAGTAAAACGAAAAATCACAGCTAAAAGACATTATTTCTCAGCCCAGTGAAAACACCATTGCAACACAAACACTGCAAACAGGATGCAATAGCAGATTCCTTCACCACTTCGGAAGGTGGCTTATTTGCATGCACGTGGATTAACTGAGAGAAGAGTTAAACCTCCCTAATTCCTGGGAATTAAGGTGTGCCTTTTCAGTACATTTTCCAGTAAGGTTAAGGCGCACAGCTTCCAGGTTGCAAAACTCTATTGGACACCACGTGTTGGAAGTTTTTCTAAAAGGTATTTGGTACTTACCCACCTGCTTAAAGGGATAAAGTGAGGGGACAGGGAAAGGGAGAGCTAAATCTATCTAGTGCCTGCTGTGAGCTAAGCTTTGTTTGCCAAACTCACATTTGCCCTTTTAAGCCCCACGACAAAGGTGCAGTTTGAAGGTGCAGCACTTAAATGGACTCTTGACCATGCTGAGGTTCTTGCAGCGGCAGCTGCTACTGCTATCTGAGGTGGTGACGGCATTGCTAGCAGCTTCCCCCCTTTCTATAACTCAGAGGAGTTAAGCAAATGACCCAAGGTCACAGAACCAGGAAGTCGAGAAGCCGCTTCAACCCAGGTCTTCTAACTCTGAAGTTAACCATGTTAAACACTGTTCTAATAACATCCTAAATGTTTTAATTTGCATTATTCATCTTTTCCCAGACTGCATAATCTAATAGATGTTGTAATCTCATAGCGCATTTCCCGGGGGGAGGGCGTTCATTTACCAATCTGTGCTTCTCTGTGGCTCTTCTGTGAATGAACCTTCCTTGATCAATGGAGGATGGATCTATGCAGATATCAGACAACTGAATGCAGATGGGCTGAATTAGACAGCACACCAGGAAAGTGCTAGCCACCAGACAGACAGCTCGTGTTTCTGACACATCATTTTCCCATCAGGGCTTCTCAAATACCAACATCCAGGGCTGGGATACGCAGCAGGCTGAGGGGACCGCAAGAAATCAATGCCAGGATTAGAAAAGTGGGACACATGAAAAAAAAAAAAAAGAAAGAAAAAAAGATGTCTCTAAAACGCAATGAGGCAAAGCCCAGGTAAGCAGAAGTCATGAGTCCATAAATACCAGAGGGCAGAGCCAGCCGCTGCCCAGCTCTAGGCCAATAATTAGCAACCACAGGGGTAAGGAGGGGAAGAAAGCCCTGTATGTTCTAGACATGATGCTATTTTGGGCATAAGTCTTCACTTTATTTCGAATGTAGGCATTTAAGTATAAAAGAGGGTGAGTCAGGGAACTGGAGATCTGGCCTGCACAACCCAACTACCCAGCAGTGTGGGCCCCTCTTTAAAACGAGAGAACTAGCCCGGACACTCTGGCCTCACAGGGCCCTGAGATCCTTTCACTCCCTTTCTCCTGCTGTTGAGAGAACAAAGAGAAGAGATGGAGCTGGAAGGGGCCCACAGGACCTTAGCGGGGAGGGGCCAGGCACCAGGTCTCTGCAGCTCAGGTGGTTTGCAGAACCCCCTTAAGAGCCACGCTGTTTGTTTCCTACTCTGCTGAGAACCCCAATGCGAAGGAAGCTGGGCCAGCAGAGTTAACGGGGACACCTGCCAACAGGTAGAGGAGAGAGGATTTGGGTCCAAGATTGGGCAGTTTATAAGAAGCTGCCCTGCCTGTTCGTTTCATTAACTAACCCTTCAAGACATCCACGTATTTCTTTTTCCGTCGTGTGTTGGCTTGAGGTAAGAGCCTCTGGCCTGATGGACACACAGATCAACAGATGGCCTATCTATACTTAAGAATATTTTAAGTAGGCCTCATCCTTGGTGAGTTTTCTCCATCTGGCAAAATACGAGTGATGTGCAAGAGGCAGTATAGATGGGCAGTGAAGAGTGGTCACAAGCGTGGATTTGAAAATTAGACTGCAGGTGTTCAAATCTTGGCTGTCACTTCGCAAACCTTGGATGAGTTACTAAACCTCGCTAAGCCACAGCTTGAGCTGAAAAGCAGAGATGATCATAGTGCAATCTCAGTGTGGGGATGATTTGAGGAAATAATTCAAGTCAAGTACCTAGGATGGTACCGGTACTTTAATACGTGCATGGTAAATGGTAACTTATAAGTAAACGATGATAGTAAAGTGCTCTCTGCCCTCTGGTTTCACTGAAATAGAAATACAGTAGAACCTCAGATTGTGAGTAACTTGGTTTGCAAGTGTTCCACAAGACGAACAAACATTTCTAATACATTTTAACGTGCTAAATGAGCGATGTCTTGCAATACGAGTAGTTTGTTTCTGGAATAAATTATGCTTGCAAACCAAGGTATTACTGTATATTGAAATCATTACCCTTTAGATCAATAAAATCAGCACACGCCATGAGAAATCCTAAGTCTGCCAAGTGGTCCTCCTTCATTTCATTGTCAATAACAACAGTACAAGTATGGGTCAAATTATTATGTCTTCAAGTTAATGTTCCCATTTCCCTCATGCTAGAAATTTATTATTCACACACAACCGGCCATAATGTTCAGAAAGATCAACCTGTGACTTTTAATATTCAGAATACAAAACTCAAGAGGAAGTCAGACTGTTAGAGATAAAACGTAACCTCAGTCAGATTCACCAGGATTTGACAGAAGACAACGGGCTCTCCCTCATGCACCAGAGACCCTGATTCTACCCTTTGGGAAGAACAGTAACTGACCCACCACTCAGTTCCCATCTGAGGGGAAGACGCAACTGTGAACCTCTGGCCAGGACACAAAATCATGGTCAGCTCCACTAGAGAAGAAACCAGTCAAAGTCAATGTAACGGAAACAATTCATTTTCAAATTGGGGCGGGAGGATCAGAAAAGGTCCTGTTCTTCATATAAACTCTAAACACAGAAAGACTGAGACTGGAACGTAAAGCTCTGCCTCTCTTCGCTCCAGAAAGGAGGTGCTCAATAAATACTTGTGTGCTAAAGAATGCGAGGACCGGCTTCTGCCCCACGGAGTCCAACAGCCTCCAGACAACTTGTTTAAATGCCTGAGAAGCCAGCTTGTCTGGGCGGCCCTTCCCAGCGGCTTCAGGGGAACAAATTCCTCTGCAAGGGCAGAAATGAGCCCGAGCCATCAAAAGCAGCATTCCTACGCTGACAATGGCCTCTTTCAGCAGGAGCCTTATAAGAGGAGAAGGTTCTACCAGGCCAGCATGGGAGGCGACAAGAAGAATGTCCTCTGGATCTTTTCTGACCACTCATGACTGACCCACTGGGTATACAATTAAATAAGGCCTTAGAGAGAAAACACAATGGGCAAAACGGGGGGGGGGTCGTCTGTAATTCAAGAGTAAGCAGCAGAAGGCTGACCCTTCAAACGGTGCTTCTCTGTCCAGCCAAACTAAGAATTAATTATAAACCGAACAGTTAACATGCAGACTCCCAGCCTCGGATGTGACTTGCTTCACAACACACAATCGGCCTGAAGCAAGCCAGTGGGGCTCAGGACAGGCAAACACTGAGCCCCAGGAACAGACACAAGGAGACTGGGGATGTGGCCGATGCCCCACTGCTGTCTAGAGGACAGAGAGGTGTGTCCTCTGTGGAGCACAGGCCGACATGGGAGCACAGGCAATGCTTCTTAGGCAAACCAGATACAGTTACACTGATTAGGAGAAGGTGTTAGGAGAGAAAAATAGCTAATTTAATCAAATTTTTAAAAAAGAGCCTATCGCTTTTCTGCATATGTGCGGGCATCCCTTTAAGTGTTGCTTAGGGAGGTGAGAAGAAGTGTAGGAACAGAAAGGTTATTACCTAAGATGCATCACAAAAGCTCTAACGTTGACATTTTCTGATGCCTTAAAATTCATTTTCAGTGGACTGAAGTGTTGCTGACTGGCTAAAATCACAATTGCGTGTCAATGTTTTCTAGCCATGGATTTCCCCTCACCGAAGGTAGGAAAGCAAATGTGCCTTTTCGTGTGCTGGGAAAGCACCATTCTACCCCACGGTGTGCTGTGTGTGCAAACCGGTTCTACCCCAGGGGCAGCTGAGCTGCTGGGAATAAACGGAGACTCAGCACCCCAGAGGGGGAGCGTTCCATGCTGATGTTCAAGAGAGGCGGTCAGGGGACTTGTCCACAGCCACAACCACCGATGGCAAAGCCCAGTCATCAGTGGGTGAGGACATGAGTCCATGCCAGTCCTTGGAGTTTTACCCCACGCAAAGAGGGAAGGACACTGGGGTTGCAATTCAATTAAAATGACAAATAGAGGCTTATGAAAAAAAATGGGCAAATGCTAATGAATTACCACATGGCTTCTGGAAAGCCCTCATTTGGCTCTGTAATTCCTTCTGTGCAAAGGTGGTCGAGAGGCCCCGGAGACTCACATGGGAGCCCGGTCTTTACCAGAA